ATTTAATGTAATTTTTTAAACATTTTTAATATGATTCGAACTATTTCAAATTATTTTGCTCTCATAGTTAATAGTTATTTATCTCGATCTGTTTCGAATTATTTTAAATATTTACGTAAAATTGCGTAATTTCTTGTATAATATTGCGTAATAATCCGACGTAATATTTCATAATTGTATATTTCGCAATATTGCGAAAGTTTTTATGTAATATTACGGTTTTCTTACACTTTGTAAATTATTGCGCAATATTATGCCCTATTAAATTTGCTGATGTACATATTCAACACACTCAATTATATTATTCCCTATAGCCTATAATATATTCTTATAACAATTAATAACACACTCGACAAGGTTAACTCACTTACTCAGGCAACTAACCAATATCTACAACTAACTGACTTGGAACTCAACACATATCCACACACAAAAACCTCCCTTAGACAACTCAGGACAACTCTTTACACTGCTCGGAATTTGGAAAATAATCAACAAAAAACAGACAAAATCCAGTACTACATCAACAGACAGTATACAAACTTTCAAAGTAATACAACGAAGAATATTAATAGTGTATTGAGATGATATCACACCCTGATCACTTCCTACAACATTATTACACCTACTACAGTTATCACTGATTCACAGGAAATTAAACAAGCAACAGTACAACACTTTAAACAATGGACCAAACACAATTCCTATAATCCTGCTTTGTGGCCAGAATGAGAACAATATTATAATCCAATTCCCTTAGCAACACTATCTACATATTCACAACTACTAGCAACAATCAGACAACAAGAAATTGAACAAACAATCAATAATACACTGAATAACAAAGCTACCGGCCTCTCTACTATATTCAATGAAATGTTAAAGAAACTACCGAATGCAGCTATTGGACAATTAACAAAGATCTTTAATACATGCATTATACTACAAACAATACCTAAGGCCTGGTATCAGGAACTATTTTGGTTGATACCAAAAAAGGGATACCAACCTGGCAACTTATCCCGAACTCAACCAATTACACTAATTGAACATATACACAAAATCTTTACTAAAATCCTTACTTCACGACTTAGCTTGATACTAGTGCATGCTAACCTGCTCGATTCCTCTAACAATATTACACTACCACTAACCTCGACTCTTCAACCAATTCAACATATAACCCACCTCCACAAAGATGCTTATATTAATAACTGTTAGCTCTGGATATTATCTCAAGATATGTCTAAAGCATATGATATAGTCCATATACCCTTATTAGAAAAAGCCCTCTTGAGAATAGGAGTCCCAACCCAATTCTCAAATATCATTAGCACAATCTTCTCATTACACCAAAACAGTATAATCACATTAATTGGTAAAACACATCCCTACAATATTGAGAATGGGATAGACCAAGACAAGACAATATTCCTGATACTTTGGTGAATTTACTACGACCCTTAATTAGTCATATATTGAAATCTACTCTAGGCTATAAAACTTCAGTACAAATAACCAATACTGACCAAATACGAACCACCACAACCAATGTTATAGCTTTCATGAATGACACTACATGGGTAGCACCCAACCGCACTTCTTTACAACAAATCTTGACGATAGCATCTTCATTCTACCAAATGACAAAAATTACAGTAAACCTATCGAAATCAGTACTCTACTATAACAACAATAACGACACATTACCTATTATCTTCCAAAACCAACATATTATTAATCTACTGCTAAAACAAACCTTCTAATTCCCTGGAACATATATCGATCACACTATCAACAATCAACACGCAATCAAAACTATCAAAAAGAATTTTGTAAAGACTTGAACAAACTAAATCATGCAAAAATTACAAAAAAACAAGCTATATACATCATCAATACAGTGTTACTCTCTTGGCTGCATTACTGGCTTATTAATACATTTCTGCCTCTTATGGATACCCAATATCTCATAAAATGCTATACCACAACGGTTAAATACAAAGCAAAATTATCTTGAGATGTACCAAATTCCCTCTTTTTTCACCCACACACTTATGCACTAATCAATGCACATCAACTACAACAATCTTATCAAGCCTTCATATTGGAGAATATGCTTAACTCACCAGTATCACCAACCACTTTTAATATCTGTTTACAACAATTACAAAACGATGCACTATCTAACATATCTATACTATTAGAACTACCACAATTCACTTACACAGAACAAAAAATCTTTACAGGCCAACTTATAATCAATTTACACAAGCTACAGTTAACTTTTACACGTTTATCTTACCTATACCCAATACTACTTTCAACACCAAGAACAACAATTAATACTATTCTAATAAACATAAAAAACAGTACTCAGATAAAAGACAAATTTTGTCAATACAACATTCATACTATTGAACAATTCACAAATCACAACAACTCCAAAGTCTTAGACTAGAAAAGTTTTTATCACAACATAAGAAAAATACCAAGGGGATGCACCCTTAAGTAGTTTAAAATAATTATACAAGCGATAAGTGAAATAATCTTACCAACCTTTACGCTTACAAACCCTAACCTATTTATATGGACCATAGCAAATAATTCTTCCAAATAGATAATAACATCTTACAAAGTATTCAGCAAAATAACCTTCTCCAGGGACAACCTATTCAAAATCCAATACTGGAACTTAGACCCTGTGACTAATATCCTTACTTCCTGTAACCACTACCCTCTCCATGACCGCACAACAAACAACATCTGATGCTCGATATGGAATCCAAAACATGCTACCTTCCAAATCAAAGTCTTATCAAAACATGTCTGGCATGGAAACTTAACTAACCTATCCACTCCACCACCAAGCAGCAAAAGTAGTACTAAACTATACTATTACATACCTTATAACCATTCATATTCATTTCAAATGGCTCAGACCTTCAACCAACATGCAGAGTTTATATGAAAAACTTACCTATTTATATCTAATGAAACAGACTTTAGAACACAACTAATTATCAAGCCCTCTAAAAACATCCCACTTAAACTGATAGCTATAATTTCACTAAATAATAATCATACAACAATTACAATGCAAAATAATCATTGGCCAAGCCCCACCAAGATCACCATAACTGCACTATACACGTTAATTACTATTATACCCCATCAGACACAAATACAACTAGAAACAAACTCAACTATTTTACTTAAAATTCTACCAACTATCTTAGATACCTCTCCAATTATACTTTATATAATCTGTAAGGATCACAATATTGGATATATAACTGCTATTAGAGCTGCAATTCTTGCCAAAAATATAACTATTACGAGCACTTATACTTGATTGAACAGTATAACAATAACACAAACTTCAATTAGAAAATTTGAAATAGACCCATCAATACTCCTCCACAACATATACCTTCTCAGATTTATCATCTGATAATATAAAAACAACTATAAAAAATCTACATACTGCAACAAACATTGACAACTGGTTTATACAAAACCATATTCAACACTGGAATACAATAACATCAAAGATACAATGGCAACCTATCTTCCAATATCTGAGATACGATGATAAACCTTGTACAAGACACACTGACTCTAAATTATCCCAAATTAAAAACTTCAAATTTAAAATCCTAATGAATGAATTACCAAATCAACTGAATTTATTCAAATGACATCCAAATACCCACACATTACCAAGTTGTAAATGATGCAACAACACAACTGAAACAGACCAGCATTGGCTTATCTGCCAATATAATAGTATAACACTTCAAACTATTATTACGAATAAACTAATGCAACTAAAATCTAAACATAATATTAACTTTACCAATACTAACCAATTCATTTAGAATTTTATTAGTATCCACATTGACAATCAACTACCTTTAGGGGTCATTACCGAAGCAATGCTAGTACCGACTCGAAATCATAAGACTGCAGTAAATCTTTCACCGGAACTCCATCACATGATAATTAAAGAAGTACACAGATCAATTTGGGTCCCCAGTCGAATCCCGCCCACAGATAATAATACAACTCCATCCCCAATAACAAATTTAGCAATACCAGAAAATCCAATCCAACTTATGACAGAAGAAAAAGCTCTCCGAAGTAAAATTACCTTCTGGAAACATAAATACATTACTCATAACACTTCCCCACACGACATACTTGATTCATAGTCTAGAGGTCTTTGACCTACCTAGCTAAGGTTAAGGTCTAAAGTAAATTAGCTTATTCCCCACTTCCCTCAAAATTTATGTAAACTTACTATGTAATATCTGCATAATGAATAATAAAGGAACTGAGGAAAAGACCGCACTTAAAAAAAAAAAAAAAAACTCGTAACTAGGATAGTAATTGGACTCGAACACTCTAGTTTAAACACGAGCCAGGTTGAAGAGTTACTCCATTAAAACAAATTGGTCTGGTTTATGCGCATTTTAAACCAAATTAAACCAACCTATCTCATTAACAATTCTATCCGTAATTAAATATACACAGATTTTTCGAAAATATCACCAATTCTACCATTTAAATTATTATTGTGCAAGTTTTTTTATATTTGTTAGTAATTCTGCAAAATATTTGATCAACTCTATAAATTATTTTATTAAGCCGAATGATTCCACCTGGTGTCGTAAAAAAAAAAAAAAAAAAAATCTTTAAATAACTAAAATTGCTTGTATTTAAAAAAAAAAAAATTTTTTTTTAAAAAAAAATTGTTATAATAATTTTCCGAAAAATTCAATAATCCAAGAAGAGTCGTTATTAATATTATACAAAAATACATAAAACATTTTACATGTTTATAACTTTTGTGTTCAAGAATAATATATTTTTTTTTGAATGTAAACGATTAACATCCAAATATAAATAAATAATTATATATATGAAATTACTTAATAACCGGTTTAAAAATAAATATAATACTATCATTTTGTAAGAGTTCTTGTAATCTTTAAATTCTAATCAGTTTTTTTTGAAATGCTATCTTCGTCCTCACTAATATAATCAAATTAAAAAGAAATTTTTAGAAAACAAGAGATAATTAAAGATAATTTAAACAAATATATAACTCACTTTTCACTATCACTTCTAGAATCTTCAGCGTTTTTTCCATTAACGACTTTCCACGCAATTCTCAAGATGAGAGTGAACCAATAAATCATTAAAATTTGTAAAAGTGTCATTCCTAATAAAACAATGTATTTGGACCACCATGTAAGCCAATAACCATTTAGCGGATCCCAAATACATTTGTTGTTTTCAGGAAGACATGATTCAGCAAATAAAGAATAGGTGACTAATCCAAATAAATAATGTCGAGTGTATACCCATAATAACATGAAAATTATAAACATTGAGTTGGTAATAAATCCAGGAAAATCCAAGTATTTCAAACATTTTGCTAACTGATAATTAATGGACGAGAAATATCGGGGGAGAATAACATAAAATAAAAAGAATTAGATTAGCATCCTGGTAATGAACAGACAATAAATCGAGGAACATAAATTTATCTATGAAAAGTATTGATATTGAAATTTACAAGGTTATTACTACTTACCCCTAACCAAATATCCGAAGAATCCATTGTAATAAATACAGTATTTCCGATTCTTGTAAAATTGGATATATAACTACCACCAATTAGCAGAATTGTAATAATATGATGAGCAACTAATTGTAAAAGATCTTTACGAGGTCTCTCGAGTTGAAGGATTAAGACCACGGATTGTTGAAACCAATAAGCCAATTGGATAAGGTAATAAGACTTTAAAAGAGGAGTCATTTCATAATGAGGATAACCAATCCAAAAGTTTCTTGTTTCAAAAAAGCCGTAGGAACTGTTATACAATATAGTCTAAGAGGGTAAACATTTACAAAAAGAAGATTAGTTTTTCCTTAATTTTTTTTTAAGTAAAAAAAATTTTGATACAAATATATATAAAAAAAATTTCACAATTACACATAAATTCACAATTACGCATTGAGTCACACATATTTTTCGAGATAGATATTTTAAATAAGCAATATGGAAATGAAAATATAATAATTTTTTGATCAATTACTCACCAGACCAACTGAAGCAGCTACCATATAATATATAGTAACATAACCTTGTTCCATAAATCGGAGGATTTTTCTGGAGCTTTTAATGCCACCTCGTATTGCAATAGGTTTTAATAAGTATAACATAATAGACTCTCTAATTAACGTAAAGGCTATCACCCAAAAAGAAACGAAAGCCAAATCCCAATATCCTTTTCCATAAAGAACTGTTCCATCAGATTCGGATTTGTATATAGGATAAGAGATGAAAAGAAGCCTTGAAAAGGGATTTTGAGAGCTTGGTGCCAAAAAATAAGAAATCAAGACTACGCTTATTATTTTTAAAGGTAATTCTAGAGTATAATGAGTAAGTTATGAGAATGGAAAAAATGGAAGAATGAAATGATATAATTAAACATAATTAAAGAATGAATGAATGATATAATTAAACATAATTAAAGAATGAAATAAAATGAGATACCAATTTGTCGTTCGGCAATGTAATTCTTAATCCCCAAAGGCAGTGACTTTCTTTTTTCATCATTATACGTTTGGATCGACATAGGATTTTTTTTTTTTGACAAAATTAATGATATAATTATTTTGTCGAAGAATTAAACAAATAATAATATAATGTAAACGTAAATGCAAATTCTATGAATTTTTTTAAAAAAAGTGTATAGTTATTAAATTTCTCGAAAACTCGAATCAAATTCAATTATTATAAGTTACATAAAAAAGATCGACACTAAAAATGGCCAAAAAAAAAATTGGCGTGAATTTTTATCAAGAAATTAGATGTTAACAATCAACACCGCCCATAAGGATGGCTCAGTAGAACGAATTGAGCAAGTTTGTAAACAAGTTTTTATACTCTTGCGGCAGGGTCCCTAATCGAAATAGCCACGTATTTACGTTCTGTTACATTCGTAAGATTATCAACGTTGATTATACACCAAATAAATAAGGGATGCATTTATATTATTTATATTACTATATAAGATTAGGTAATCACTGGTAAATCCAATCAATTACAGAATTAGATAAATACCGCCATAAGTGTTTTTTTGAATTGTAATTTAGGATTAAAATAGTAATACTCATCACATGTAAAATTATCTTTCCGATTTTCCCATCTTTTTTTTTTTTTGGGATGCCATGTCAGGCCGATCAAACCATTTGAGCTTTCTTATTTGGCTGGCGTTTCCATAAGCCCACTTAAATTTATTTGTGTAACTGATACAAGCTAGAAATTAAAGTTTTAGAACTTATAGAAAATTGAAATTGAAACTCGTATTTTCTCTCGGTTTGCATTTCAGGTGAGACCGTTCCAAATTAGGAAATTATCGGAATGATCGTTACACAATTCATAAAGGTTTTTTTATACAGTTTACAATACTCTTTTCGTGAGGCCATCGTGGCTTATTTGCATTATGAAACGTGACTTTTTATTAATTAAACTTATGGCTTTCGTATCATACTTTAATAAAGTAGTGGGATTCAAGCGGATTCACCAGATGTTTGATAAATTGAATATAAACATCCAGTGAATCCGCTTGAATCCCACTACTTTATTAAAGTATGATACGAAAGCCATAAGTTTAATTAATAAAAAGTCACGTTTCATAATGCAAATAAGCCACGATGGCCTCACGAAAAGAGTATTGTAAACTGTATAAAAAAACCTTTATGAATTGTGTAACGATCATTCCGATAATTTCCTAATTTGGAACGGTCTCACCTGAAGGTTTGCATTCATCGAATTTATGTCCGATTGATCCGAGATGGTCAAGTCTTCTAATTACCACTTGTACAAAATAAGTGAATGCTCATACAAAACCTAACGTTACATTTCTTCATTTCTCCCCACAACCTATGTGGCGCTAATTACCCCATAAAAATTTCACTTTTCACATGATCTACATGCCGCAAGCTCATTAAACATTAACACTAAATGAGTTATACAAAACTTAATTATGTTATGATGCATTTTTCATAATCATGTTTAACAAATTATTTGTATATTGGTATGTTTAGAGTACCATACCCATTTCCTTTTACATGGTTTTCCTAAACTTTAATTAATACGTACTATATATGTTACATATTGATATTAATAAACAAATTACATTTTGATTAAGTAACGGAAAATGTTTTATGTCTGGAAGAAATTCGGAAAAAAAAAATTAGTGAATATTTGCACCGTATACATAGCATTATCGTTATATACTGTATATTTAAAAATATATATTTTCTTTTTATTACGTATTAATAAATAAAAATGTAGGAGTCTGTGGCGTGTAGATCATGTGAATGTAAAATTTTTATGGGGTACGTGCGTATGCTGGGGTAATTCATTTTTGGGGACGTGTAAAAAAATATTCATCAATAGATCAATGATCAATGACTGCTCTTCCGTCCGTCATGAATGATTTATATAGATTTACCAATACATTTCCAAATTAAAATTAATGTTATTGAATCTTTTCTCCTCGTTTTCAAGAACATTCAAAGCACTTCCATATCATTCTCAATTTGCATTGACTACAATAACATGTATCCGAGAAACCCAGTGTTGTTAATGTCACTATTTGGATTTTTGAACTATAGTTATTTACCCGGTTCAAGTCAAGTCATAAAACATCGGACTAGTTAAATAACTTCAATGTCCAACGATATGCATAGTATATGCATAGTTCTATCTCATTTTTATTTATTTTTTAAAAGCAATTGGTGTTACGCTAAATTACTTATTTGGGGGCGGGTACATTACGAGATTACCCGACATGTAACCCGGATATATTCGAACAAACCAAAGCGAAACAACAAAGACAAAAACACAATTGATTCACTAAGTAAAAGTGTCGGAAATGCGATTTTACTATATATAAATTCTTCTCTCTACTCTTAACCTAACCCTAAAAGAACAATTTATAAAATGATCCGAGTAAAATCCATTATTGTCTTAATTTGTTTGATTGAAATTTTGGTAATTGATGCTTCTAGAGTTATACATGAATGGCAAAAATATAGACGATTTATGCCAAAATTGACTGATGAATTTTTTTTTATCATTTTCGCCATTACACTTTACGGCTGATTTCATAATTTTCTGAAACACTTAAATTTGCTGAATGATTCTTTTTTATCTGATTTTTGATTAAGGGTATTCTCAAGCATCTTAATCAATCAATTAAATAATAATCATGTAACACTCAAGTATCAATAAATGCTTGATCGTACTCTTTCTATTTTCTATACCTTGGTCACTATATCAAGATCGCAGGGTATAAGTCAGTTATACACTGGGTTCTATGTGTTTAAGCGGAAATTTCATTTTCGCTTTACCCATGCCACCCCGTAACTATTACTTATAATCTTCTCTACGCCTCCTAAAAACCTAATAATAAAATTTTTATTCAACCATCTGTCGAAGCTTCAACTTCAGTTTCACTGGCTTTACCTCTTAATGATTTTAGCAATTAAATTTTTGTTGCAACAATAACAGAATCAACTTATTGAGTCGTTAGTGAAATTGCTTTGTGAAAACAAGTAAATTTTTTAAAAAATTTCTTTTATATGCTATCTATAGTAATTCTGCATTTTCTACTTCACACTAAAAGGGTATTATAGGTAGTACGAAAATATATTTTTCGAAAAAAGTTATAACCTTCATTATCCGTTAAATATAGAAAACATCAGCCCAAAATCCTTCAATTTTTGATTAAATTTAGTGAACGAAAAACAAAATGTATTATTCATTACAGTTTTATTAAAGGTTAAAAGATGAATTGTATTTATTACGTTCATATCAAGATATCGATTATTTGCTTTATAAGCTTCGACCATTAAAAATAAATTATCTATTTTTTTTTTGATTGGGTTGAAATTTGTTGAGAATTCATTGTTTATCATGTAAAAAATGCAAAAGTAATGCTTGAGCGACTTTTATAATGATAAATTTTGAAGAAAAAAAGATGGATTGTAGCTCACTGACCTGTTCATCGAATGGCAGCTAACTACGTATTGGTTAAATTATTCAATTTCTGACTATTAAAAATTTGCCTCCGATCCATTGAGTGAAGTACTTGAGAACACTCTAATTAAAAAATTTACCTCTGATTCATTGAGTGAGATGCTTGAGAGCATCCAAAGTTAGTGATTTCTGCATGATTGGTTATACGTAAAAATTTCTTTTGCATTACATGTAACATAT